GACATCCTGGGATTTTTAATGACCACAGAGAGTCAGGACCTCGGTTTAACGTCTCATCCGAAGGACGGTGCTTGTTGACAGTATAGTGTCCCCTTCACTATACTGGGGTGTTAGGACTCACACAGACCACAGGGTGAGCACCCCCTGCTGGCCTCACTAACACCTCTTCCAGCAGCAACCTAGTTTTCCCAGGAGGTCTCCCATCCAGGTACTGACCAGGCTCAGCCCTGCTTAGCTTCAGTGGGCAACCAGGCTTGGGCTACAGGGTGATATGATGAGACAATATTAAAGATATATTCATTTGTGTTTGAAAATGAAAGTCTTACGATTTCGGAACAACATGAAGGTAAGTAAATGATGCCAGAATTTTCATTTTTGGATGAACTATTCCTGTTTAGTTAGGATGTTGTCTTAGAAAGCAGCTGTCTATGTAGGCTGTAGACTGCTAGCAGCTCATTAGGTTTCGGATCAGAGCTCTGGTGTCCTGTTCAGGCATGGCCTACTGATTTGCACTCTGCTCTACATGGACAGGAGTCAGCTGGATGTTGTTGATGTGCTAGAAGGTCAGGTTCACACCATCTCCCTCCCCATCCATCTCAAAGCTGTGTTCCTGGTGGCTGAAGACCGCTGGCTTCTTGTTGAGAGCAAGACTGACAGGTGCCAATTAAATTCAAATTCCTTCATATTTTAGCTGTTTGCACACATTGCTCAGACTTGGAAAAGGGTGTTTTCCTTTTTAGAGGTTATATAAGAGTATTTGCTTCAACCGATACGCTGGTACGTCTTTGACTAAATGTGCAACCATCATGTGCAGGAAGTTCCTGTTGACAAAGCCCATGCACATGGGCACAGAGGACACGGGAGTGTGCCAGCTGCATGCCATCAGTGAAGACATGGTTAACACCAGCTTTGGCACCAGCTCAGGTGAACTACTCTTATCGCTTATTGGCCAGAACAGCCAATCAGAGGTGACTCTGCGTTGTTGTCGTCCAATCAGGGCCACTGAGAGCTCTTCACACTTGTCAGTCACCATCTGTCTTGCTTTGGCAAATGTGTCTGTTTCACATCTGCTTTGACTGACATGAAGCCCGGGGGATTTTTAAATCTGACTTGTGTCAGATTCAGGACTTTTGCATGTGAATAAACTTGGTGTCATCTTTGATGGCTTGCATGGTAAATATGGTCTCAGACGCTGCCTGGTGTACAAAAATGTGCTTGCAAAATTAATCTGTTCACTCTTATTTATGCTTATTGCACTCTCCATTCTCACTCCTAGTTGGCATGCTTTCACTTTTAATTTTTTAGTCAAATCAAGTCACGTATTTATATATCACTTTATATAATACAGATTGTTTCAAAGCAGCTTCTCAGTAATAAACAGGAAAATAACTTCTTCAAATATGAGACAAATTTAAATTCTGCTGTAAAGCAGGCTCTAAAAGACAATAGTATCATTATTCAACTCAAGTCAGTTTAATGTTGATTCAGTTTACTTCAGTTCATTATGAAACGAATTAGGGGCCATTCACAAAACACGTTTTTGCTTTGCAGTGGAATGGAAAAAAAAACGCAATGCCTCGAGACGCTTTTTTTTTAAAGTTGAACTTATTTGAACTTGAGCACCACTTTTTGAGAACGCTTTAGTACGCAATGGTCAAATATGTCCGTCTAGTGTGAAAAGTATTGGTATGGAAAAAAGCGTTCCGTGTGAACGGCACTTGGATTCAGCTATAAAGTTCAGTTTAGCTTACTTTTTTTTTGTTTTTGTCAGTGCAATCAAATCAACAATAGTACCGAATATTAAGTGTCTTTTAAACCAACGTCCCCAACTAAGCAAGCCAATGGCGACAGAAGCAAGAAACCCAAATTGGTGTCAGAAATGTAGAAAAAATTTTTTTTGAAAAATCAGTCGAGAGGCCAGTTCTCCTCTGGGCTAAATGAACAAATGCAATTTGTTATTGCTCATAGTTAGGCTGCGGGTTTTCTCCAGATGTTACGATCAATCAGAGTAAAGTACCTCTGCCTCAGAGCGTGACTGTCCACGGAAGAAGCAGTTACACTACGTCTGTCGGCTGACAGACAGGTCACGGTTATAAGCCGCTGCCACCTGTCATTGTGTCATTCTCAGCAGGTCTTCTCCCTGCTGCTGCGAGGAGGAAAGTGTGGTGAGATTCCTCACTCTGGTATCACAGAACCGGGGTTACATAACCATAGCTTCCTTCTGATGAAGTGCCCCTTGTCATTTCTCCTTCAGCACTTGTTTCTGGAGCATGAAGAGCAGAAAGACGCTTAATAACTCATAGTATCACTTATTGAGATGAATGCTGCTGTCATAGAGATAGACTAATGCCTGTACTTAGTGGGCATCGTACATCTAAAGTGTCAGACACGCTTCAGCGTTTGCTCTGAAAAATGAGCATGTTTTTGATGACATCAAAAGTTCCCATCAGCAGGATTGGGGTCTTTATCAAATCGAGTGTGACAGAATGTCACCAGAAGGTCTGAATAATGACCAATTAAACTGGGGTATAAAGATGTCACAAATGCAGAGTCATGGTAGAAACACTCTGAACCCTTTTATGGGTTTAGTAGTGAGGGACACATTATCATCTCTACAGGGGGTCATTTTAGAGTGGAGTGATGGTCTGACTGTCTTTGTGCTTCAGGGATGGAAGCTACAGCTCCTCAGGAGGTATCGAATGAGCAGCTGCCCAGTGAGAACCTCAGCACTGCCCTGGGCCAGAAGATTGTTTCTCCAAACCGCATCCTCTGTGACACTAACACCTATGCTAATGTTATTGTGGGCTTCTCAGATCTCATGGTGGGTATGACATACGCTGTGGTAAAATACAGTTTAATTCTATAGATCAGTGATATGGTGCTTTTTTAGTCCAAATCTATTTATTTTTGAAGTGCACATTGACTTTGAAATTTTAATTTTGGATTTCAACATTTTGAAGTGCACATTGATTTTGAAATATTAATTTAGATTTTCTTTAAATCGAGGCCTTAAAATGTCTTAAATGTTTTATATGTCAGTTTAAATGATGTAATGGTATTAACATAATTTACATTATTATTATGTTGTAAGTAGCCTAATGTGATGAATATTTTTGGGATAAATTATTTCATAGAATATTAATAAGTCTCTCATAATAATTTAAAAGGAAACCTTGTTAAGGTAGGTTTAGGTTGTAAAATGAATACATATACACACATCTTCAAGGTGTAAGAAAAATATTTTAATATATATATTTTTTTATTAAATGACATTTTTGGAGTCATTATAATAAAATGTTTCTTGAAAATGTTAAAATTGTTATTTGTAAATAAATAATTTTAAAACCATAAGAATCCAACACAAAGAGTACATTTTTCTAAAAATGTGGCACATGTGTTTTAAACTGTGCATTTTTTTTTATCTATTATTATCATGGATACTCTTGTATGGCAAACCCAAGTGATAACATGTTTTGTATTGTATTTCCACAGTCCCCAAATGAAGCTTTATGTACAACTTTAAGAGATCTTCGCACATTACAGAGGGTCGGGGACCTGATATGTTTTTTGGGTCAAGTAAGTGAACCGGGCCAGCAAAGAGGGTCAACTGTGTCTGTGTTAGGTGCCAATCAAGTGGTCCGAGCACTGCCCCCTACACAAGTCCCACTGACTGAGATCTACCCCTCTGACACATTCATATGTACACATCATATACAAATGTATTAGCAAATATAATGGTGCTTTACTTATGATAATGATGGTATTGATTGACCAACAGATATCACACCACCCATGACTGCTGCTTACCTTGAAGTGACAGACCTGAACTCTAAGAAGCTCAAATGCATTCCAGTCCCGAGGTACAGAGTCAGACTCTTTCATTAAACTCTAGCTCCCTCTTCTGTTCGGTCAAAGCCTTTTGCTAAATACCATTCATTTTACCAGCCATTTGGATACAGTCAATTTAAAATGATGTAATAATATTAATATAATTTACATGATTACATTATGTTGTAAGTAGCCTAATGTGATGAATATTTTTGCATAAATTATATTGTGACAGTGATGTTCATAAAATATTCAGGAATATCCCTTTTAATATAATAGAATATGTTTGTTTTTTTTTACCAGTAAATAAACAAAAATGAGCCAGTAACGGTTTGCAAGATGAGAATGCAAATTGCATTCTGCTTAAAGGAATAGTTCACCCAAAAATGAAAATTTGCTGAAATTTACTCACCTTCAGGCCATCCAAGATGTAGATGAGTTTGTATCTTCATCGGAACAGATTTGTAGAAATGTAGCATTACATCACTTGCTCAGCTATGGATCCTCTGCAGTGAATGGGTGCCGTCATAAACAATGAGAGTCCAAACAGCTGATACCAATAATCCACAAGTAATCCACACCACTCCAGTCCATCAATTAACTAAAATAGTCCTCTACCCATAATATTACTTTCTCAAGTGAAAAGTTGTCTCCTCTGAATCAGAAGAGAAATATGCACAGTTCAAGCACCGTTTACAAGTCAAAACAGTCCAAAACAGCTCTAAACAAATATGTTGGTGGATTTTAATGTGAGGATTTTCTGTGGGAGATATGGAGGAAGCATTTTTATGGATTATGGGCTCATATTTTGGTCGAAAGCAACTGTTTAAATTTAAATCTTTTAATGATGGATTTGTTTCTTGCAAACACACAGCTTTTCACTTCACAAGACAGTAACCGATGGACTGGAGTGGTGTGGATTACTTGTGTATTATTGTGATGTTTTTATCAGCTGTTTGGACTCTCATTCTGACGGCACCCATTCACTGCAAAGGATCCATTGGTGAGCAAGTGATGTAAAGCTAAATTTCTCCAGATCTGTTCCTATGAAGAGTCAAACTCATCTACATCTTAGATGGCCTGAGGGTGAGTACATTTTCATTTTTGTGCAAACTCTTCCTTTAAATTTTTACCTGATTACCTAATTTTGTCTTCTGACACTTCTGTATTTTTGTACTTTGGCTTCTGACATTGTAACACCTTCTAGCCCTAATATGTTAGTTTGACCCTGATGATTTTATGTGTAATTGTATGTTTGCCGTTTTCAAAATGTCTTCAAAAGGCCTTACATTTAGGTTCATGTAACTCTGTGTAAGGCAGCTGAATATCTTCCAGTGGTTCTGATCATTGGCTGTCATGCTGACGTGTTCAGGAGCAGCTCCATGTCTCCCTACACTGTGTGGATCTCAAAGGTCTCAGACACAGATGTAGTGATGGCTCCTCTGGGCTCTGGTGGAGTGGTGACTGTGGACATCAGATTATGGGAAACAGACCTTGACAACCTGCAGCGCTCTCTGCTGGAGTGGAGGAACATGATCGGATCAGAAGATGGCAGGCCAATCCAGGTAGGACTTTGAGGGCGAATTTCACATAACATATTAAGAGCATGTCTGAGTCATATTTCACCCTAAAAATTATAATAAAAATGAAGTTTTTTTTAAAGGAGCCTATAGACCTTTGTTTTATTTTTTATTACAAATAATGTCAACTTTTGTTTGCTGTGGGTCATCCAGGGTTTTGTTTGAGAAATCTTTAAATCATTTCAGCCTGTTTTTTTTTTTTCTTTGCTTTGTTTTCACCATTCCTTTTGGTGCCTTCTTTGCTGCAGGAATGACACAGTTTGATTTTTGTCCTAAAACAGAATTGTCTCAAACATGTTGGATTTAGGCTGATCAAAATGTGCAGTTCCATTTCTTACCACATGGTGGCGGACTTATATAAGAAATGTTTTATTACGTGAAAAAGTGACGTGACATGTGGCCAAGTATGGTGACCCATACTTGGAATTAGTGCTCTGCATTTAACCCATCCTAAGTGCACACACACACAGCAGTGAACACA